CTTTGACGGGAGTTCTCGCACACGCTTCTTTGTTTGTCCATGTGGCTATTACTAACCGAAGAGGAGGAGGAAAGCCTCATAAAAGGGGCCTTTCTGTGCGAAAAGGGAAGAAATCCAGGGAGTATGCATCTTTGAGAACACTGTGGATTAAAACTGTGGATGAAGTATTCAAGAATGCCCAGCCCCTGATTCGGGATGCCACAGACCTGCGAGAGAACATGCAGAACGCAGTGGTGTCATTCAAGGAGCTGTGTGGCCTCTCCTCAGTGGCCAATCTCATGCAGTGCGTATTGGCAGTATCTCCCCGCTTCCTGGGGCCTGATAACACACCCCTGGTGGTCTTGAACCTCAGCGAGTCGTGTCCCATGATGGAGCTGCAGGGAATTGTGCCAGAGGTTCTGAAGAAAATCGTGACAACTTATGACATGATGATTCAGTCCCTCAAGGCGCTGATTGAGAATGCAGATGCTGTGTATGAAAAGATCGTGCATTGTCAGAAGGCAGCCATGGAATTCCATGAACATTTGCACAGCATAGGTACCAAAGAGGGCCTGAAGGAATGAAAACTACAAAAAGCAGTGGAGAGCTTTACCTGGAATATTACCATCCTAAAGGGACAAGCAGATCTTTTGAAATATGCTAAGAACGAGACATTGGAGAACCTGAAACAAATCCATTATGCTGCTGTTTCGTGTAGACTGAATAAGCCAGGCACTGAAAACACCGCAGCCCAGAGGCCACGCTGGAGCCTCGAAGTCATACCTGAAAGAGCAAACGATGAAACTGGAGAATAGGGGCGCCTTCTGTACATTGTTATGGAGTTTATAACTCTAGGACCAATGGTAGTCAAATGAGACATTTGCTTTGCACTCATTACTGAGATTAATATTTGGGATTTTAAAGCACAACTGGAATAGCTAATTACAGTGTATGAAAACTGTGAATGTATGTAGCAATCATGTGTGTAAAGGCAAATAAACTGTTTAACAAGAAGTTATATTCCTGGCAAAACATGCTATATTTGTATACAGAAACCTCCTAACTCAGTTCTGGTATGAAGAACAGATTAGTCACTTTAGTTCCATTGAGAAATAGATATTTTCCTAAGTGAAAATAATTTCTTAAGATTGAAAATGATTGGACTGTCAAATCCTATTTATTGGTGATAAGACCTTATCTGCTCATTTTATATATGTGTGGTTGCCAAAGTCTCTGGGTTAGGGATGATTTTGGTGTCATGCTTGCTGAGCCATAATTATGAGGAGAACTCTGAGGACAGGTTTCCTGAGCCCTGGGAACCTTGGTAAGCCTTTGAGGAGGAGGAGGACAATGTGCAATTGGACTGAAGCTCCCTGGGCGAAGACTTGTTGTTTCAGCACATGGGGAGGTGGAAGACACAACAGCGACAACCTGGAAGTGATGCCTTGTAAATAGTTTTTCATTGTATGGAGTAGTGTTCACATTAAAGAGATGTTTTATGATACTTCAAAAAAAAAAAAAGAAGTAAAGCCATGTTGTTATGTTGAGCTCTAGGGGACTCAATGTCAACTTCTGACATTGCAGTCAAGCAGAAGACCCAATACTATTATGGACTACTGGACTATTTTGGAATATTTTGCTGAGTTCACACACCTATAATAGTTAAATGACAGAACTAAACAAAAAAGGGGATACAGATGATTAACCATTTTGTATCCCTGTATTCAAAATGGCTAAGATATATAGCTACATTCTCTTAATTCAAGGAATAGAGGGATTTGTTCTAATAGTGTTTGTAAATAGGATATCATGTCTGCATCTTGTACAACAAATAACCACTAGGA